GTACGTGTAAGAAAGATACTAATAGTACTGCTTAATTCACTCTGTTACTCTATATTTGTTATACTATTGTGTTGTTGAGATATATGCCCGCAGAGGTGCGCAAAGTTGGTAGGGTGACCGACTCGCTTGCCTGACCGACTCGCTTATCCGTCACGTTATAAGTTATTACTGTTTTCGAAAATGATGAATGTTGGTTGTTAGCTTTGTTTATAGGGGAAAGGTGGGTTAGGACGAGTAGGTGTGAGGAAGTGGACCGCTGTGATAGTGAGATTGGTGAAGTTTGTTGGTATCGGTATACCGCTTTTCGTTATCATTATGGGGATATACGAAGGTCTTGGGTAAGAAAAGGTTTCAATGAGCTTTTGGTTTGGAGTTGTGTATAGTGTCGCTGTGACACTTCTTTATGCAAATCAAGGTGTGGTATCGCACACACTGTGGTTCTATCACGCTTTGCTCTCTGTAGTTCCCTGAAGGTATTTATGTTTCGTAGTCCTTTCAGGGTTGACAGTCAATATTCTGATGCTGATACTGGTCTCTGTTCGTCCGCTCCGGATACATCGGAAATGCTTAGTGTAGAACGCACCATGAACGAAGGGCAGAACGCTATCCGACCAGCAAGTTCAAAGTGTTTTTAGAACTATCCAATGAAGGAGCGGTGGCTATAAATTGAATATAAGGTACCGTTCTCATATTTCTTGCGACGTATGTACTACCACACCCACGGGTGTACGACCTACTTGGAGGTTGGGATTAATGTCCTTTAGCATTTACGCCCCTTCCCTGATAGTTCCCTGTCCCTACTGTCTAGCTCAACCTTGACACGTTCTTTACTCTCAGCACTACAGTTCACCTTAGCAGACTGGTAGCGGCTAAGGCTACAGGCGGCTATCTAAACCTTGAATAAGTGGGCTTCTTTGTACCGTTTCAAGCGGCTGCTTCCGAGAAACTCGAGCCCAAATTAGTGTAAGAACGTTAAAGAAAACCTTCTGGAAACCTGTTCGCATGTGAGTTGATCAGTTGTAGCGAAAAAGAAAGCACGGAATCGAACAGTAGGATCAGCGCTGAGCTAAGAGTTGAATGAGACAAATACTAGAAGCTATTGAGTTCATCCGCTTGCGTCTATCTTCTAGCCTGAACCTTGGGTCTGTTTCTCACATCTTCTACTATTGGTTAACCGCTCCCACGTTCTTTGCAGGTCTTACTATGGCCGATCACCAAACACCCCCTATTTCACCCATGATGTTTTGCTAAACCTTCGCACAGACTGTGGTACTGATACCGTTTACCCTAACCCCTTGATCAAGCAGTTCATCTTGGGTGATCAGTAGATCCATCCTAACTGGGTGTGTCTATTCTAACCATGAGTACTGGACACACCTTGTTAGATTTGTCAAAACAAGCACTGGGTTCTTCGTCTGTTGACTCTGACCATGAGCTAGCCTCATGTCACATTCAGGTGAGAGCCTTTTTTTGCGTACATCTGCGTTCTGCATCGAGAAATAACCCTTATGTAATGAGTATGACAGTCACGGGCCTATATTTAGTTGGCGTCTAGCGCATCAACTACTTATCTTTTTGTGAAGAACAACAGGCCGCCTCCCAGTCTGCACATGCCGGCATAACAATTCTCGTCGTCAGGGTCATGTGTTATTGTTGTTGCTGTAAACGCAGGTGGATAAGGCTGCGTAGGCCGCTAGGTAAGGCGGGACCGTTGAAATCGCGCCATTTCTGGAGCGAACTTACGTTGTTCCCAAGACAAAATGAAAGTCTCGAAGCGGCTTGATAGTGTTCTACATGCAGAGCGTCGCGTCAGTTGTAAATAATAGGTCTAGCCAAGTAAACCGACGTCGTCTGACGCCTGACAAGGCACCTTGGCACCATTCAAAAACGCCTTGTTTCCCGTCCTTGAAGAACGTATAGTTCAAACAGTTCTGTGACCATTTGATAGGTCACGGGGCAATACAACGTATAGTGCTAAAAGGCCGCGTAAACTCATGTCCGAAAGTAGTCAAGTTCCGCAAAAGCACCACTTATACGACACCGCGCTTGTGGTGTTTTAGGGGTTTCCGACGATCCAACTCCGGCGCCTGCAAGATTGGGGAACTAGGCCGCTTGGGAAAATAAATAGAATATACGACAGATCCCCCCTGGTACACAGGGCCAGTAGCGGTAAGGCTGACCAAGTGTTTTACAACCCCCACGATAGCAACTTCTCCCATCGCAACGTCTGATGGCAACAGGAAGAGGGTTGGTAACTGCAACTTTTCGAAGAAACAGTGAAATCTGCACAGACAGCCGCACAGCCTTCCGTCTTTGCAAGCAAATAAGCTACCTTGAACGAATCTTGTCTCCATTAAGCTTCGTTAATATGTCGTCGAGGGGTCTCTCGTCAAACCGCACGGACCCACCTGCGCAACCAACCTGTGGCTTGCGCGGTCTCAATGTGCCGGGTCGGCCAATAACACGGCGCCGGCGACTGCGCCATTTGTGGCTGCATACGTTGTAGATGTCAGCACAGTACGTTAAGCAACTCCACTCCTTTGCATTGTATGGTGTCAGGCACTCCACCACTATTTTTTTCAGGCTATTCAGGCAAATATGTACGATGATAGACAGGGATGGACATGTATTTGTGGCGTCGGTGCTTCAGGCATTCTGGATAGTGCGGCCTGACGTTTGCAACGGGGAGGGCGCAGTCGGCAATATGCGTTTCGTGAAGTAAGGCACTATTGTTTATGGGAGAGAGTCCAGGGTTACGACTAATCGGTACCAATATGTTTTATGGGGCATTCTCAACGCACAAGGCTATATACTTGGGGTCCCAGTAGCGCTCTCCCTGACCTCGCCAATTCACACTCTTTCCATTCTGTCTCTTCTCTAAACTCTGCAGTCCCAACTTGTGGTCTGCTCTCCTCTTCTTCTTTTTCTTCTTCTCCACAGTACCATCCTTCATATATATTCCACTTCGCCATGGAGAATGTGTTGGATGACAAAAAGCGACACACTGGCTCGCTACCTGGGTTCGCCAATATCCAAAATGTACCAATATCGCCATTGATCAAGCACTCTGGCCTCATCTTCGCAATCGTAAGTGACCCATCAGTCATTACATTAGACTCCTATCGGACCACCCCCTCCCTAACATCTTGACTCCAGCTTCTCATCGTCTTTTTCATATGCCGACAGTACATCCTCGAATACACGCTGGACAGAGGGTTCATTTACAAACGCGTATGGCCGACACTCAACGCACGCCAGAAGCGCGGCTTCGTAAACCACCATCTATCCATTGCGGCCAAGATCTTCGTTGTAATCATTGCTATCTACCCTCTTTTCGCCGTTGCCGTTGGCAAGAGCGACTTTCGCACACCCCTTTTTGGTTCTGAGATGGGAATTAAGCGACATCACGGTGTCCCCACTGTGGGCGATGTGCTGTATTTCGCAGTCATGATTGTTTCAACCATGTACGCGCATGAACTGATGTACCGGGAGGGTATTAGTTATGTCGCTGTTTTACACCATGTTGGTGTGATAGTCATGGGCCAGTTGACGCTGTTCTGGAGCGGGAGGACCGACCGTGAACCAGATGCAGCTTTGGAGGCTGTCTTGGCTTTGTTCTGGGGTATGTATCATGCGCTTCTAAAACACTCGCCATGTACTAACAATATGCAGGTTTCTTTGACCTGAGTGTCGAGGTACCTCCTCACGTCACCATGATCATCTACCGCGACCCCGATGTTACATCTGAGAAACTGATGCGCGCCTTTTCCATCGCTTTCTGGTGCTCATCTATTGGGACTTTGGCCGAGACGGGAACTATATTCGGATTGTATGGTGCTCTGTTCCACAAGTGGACACTCACTATGAAAGTCTTGATTCCGATTCTGCATTGCATCTTTACGGCTGCGCAGGTCTGGGGAGAGTACTGCACATGGTGCTTGTGGCAGCAGGAGAAGAGGAAGCTAGCGAGTGGAGAGAGGAAAGGAAAAGATGATTTATCAACCGGTGATGTAGAACACCAGTAGTGTCGGTTCGCTTCAAGTTGCCCGTTTTTGATTCTATAGCATTTGTCCAGCGTCATTCTACATATAATACTACTTTTGGTAGTATTATCCTATAATATATACATCTTCATGAACCTGTTGACTACAATGGTAGTATATAAACAAAACAGAAAAAGAATTATTATGAATTGTAATTTTGATTTAAAGACCGCTACACGCGGCTGCCTCCTACCTACCGACTGCCAACTACCGCGTCCGTGGCCTTTATGAAACAACGAGCTCATACTAACTCCCACAGTCACAGTGCTTAGCCATGGTGCATCTCACTAGTGACTCTGAGTTAATTATGCAAACGAAAGCTTAATTTGCCCCATGTTACTGGACAACAACCCCTGGACGCCCTGCTACATGAGCTCGGTGGATATATTTCGCCGTCAAATCCCTCATATACAACGATGCTAATAATACACATGGTGCTGCGAATCAAATAACCTAGAAGAAAATTAAGTGCCTTCACCTTTACGCCCGTGAACTGTTTCTCGTAGTCGCGCACTGTAAGCAATGTCTTGTGGATGAGACAACTGCGCATGTACCACAGACGTTTCTCGCACAGTCATTGCACGCAAACGAACTACCCTCAACAGATCCTTCCAAGTCTATATCCATGTCGATATCCATATTGTCGTATTCGCTCTGCAATGGTGTATCGCAGTCGTCGCACCGAGCCAGCGGTGACGAACTCTGATCAAGTTGCACAGGCATCGAGAAAATGGGTTGGACAGGTGGCGCAGGCAATTCTTTCCAGAAGGAGTGTAATGTCGACTTTTGAGGTTTTGACATGGCCAAGGTAGACTGCTGACTTGACACGGAGTGGGATGTTGGGGCTGTGATATCGCGATGGTTTCGCTGCGCAGAAAAGAGTTTATTCAGGGTGTTTTCTGGATAGCGCTAGTTAGCACAGTATATTAACATAACAAGAAGGAGATGCGATATACCATGTATTGCGCGCTCATCTGGTCGGTTGTCGCGCACTCTTTTGCATGTTCGGTTGCCCCAGTCGCTGCTCTTGACTCGGCCAGCACTCATGAAGTCCCAGCCATTAGATCGCGGGTAGGTATCCAAATCCATCGAGGCATCCAGGGTTTTTGGGGAAACAGCGCCGAATCTGGAGATGGAGAGCGACGAGTCGTCGGACGAGTGCTTGCGCTTGCAGGCCATGGTTGTGGGAGTACCGTTTGACAAATATGGAATGAATGAGACCGATCGGCGAGGGAACTTGGTGGCTATACGTGGGTGGGAATAAGCAACTTGCAGAAGGCCGATGTTGATGTTGATGTTGGGGATGGTGATGATAATAATGATGATGCAAGGTGCTGGCCAGGGAACGCGACTGGCGTGTCGCGAGCGCGTCGCGTCCCAAATAGGAACTGTATTAATTGCCCGGTGCAACTATTCCAACACGATTATTGCCTCGGCTTCGTAGTATATAATGTACATTGACTTATCAGAGAAGCAATGAAGACGTGGAAAGAAAGGTTTCACTTGCATTTTCTTGGTGGTGGGGGTTGAGAGGAAATAGCATTACGTCGATGGTCGTCAACTCTCTACATTCCAACCCATGCCCCGCATAGCTGCTCATCATCACCACTACCCCACCAACTACTGCCATAACAGCAACCACCGCCTCTCACCAAGTGCACCCTCCTACGACCAACCATGGTTACTCGCAAAGCTTCCCACGCCGGCTCCTGGTATACAGACAATGGCCAGCTCCTCTCACAGCAGCTCGACGACTGGCTCGGAGCAGTGCCCGCTTCGACGACACCCATCGGTTCGGCGTCGTCGCAAAAGGGCCAGGTCTCGATACCAACACCCAATGCCCGTGCCATTATTGCTCCGTACGCATTGTCCAATAGCTACATTTAGCAAGCCAGGGCTCATGAACATGCAGGCACGCCGGATACTCATACTCTGGGCCTGCCGCTGCATGGGCCTACAAGAGCGCCGATTGGGCCAATGCGTGCGTTACCAAGACATGACCTTTGCGTCGACCATCTGCGCTGATTGCTCGTAGAAAACGCGTCTTTCTGCTCGGGCCCTCACACCACTACTACCTAAGCGGCGCTGCGACCACGGGCTGCGACAAATATCACACCCCGCTGGGTGACCTGACCGTAGACACAAACCTCGTCCAGGCAATTCAGCAGGAATGGGACTTGGAGATCATGTCAAAGAGAACAGACGAGGACGAACACAGCCTGGAAATGCACCTGCCCTACATCTACAAGATGCTGTCGCTCAAGAACAAGGACTTTCAAAGCAATCCGTCCTCGGTCCCGCTAGTTCCCATCATGGTTGGTAACACCGATGCCGCTGCAGAGGCTCGGTACGGCTCCCTTCTTGCTCCCTATCTTGCTGATTCCACAAACATCTTCGTCATTTCGTCCGATTTCTGTCACTGGGGCTCGCGCTTTCGGTACACATACTATCAGCCTCCCAATGGCGCAGCTGCCACCCAGCTGAAGTCGTCCTCACGGGTGCCGAGTGACTATCCCATACATGAGGGCATTGCCGCTGTTGACCACGAGAGCATGGATGCCATTGAGACTGGTTCACACAGAAAGTTCCTGGACCAGCTTAGAAAGACGGGTAACACGGTGTGTGGAAGACATCCTATCGGCTTGTTCATGGCTGCTGTGGAAAGTGCCGAAGCGCTCGAAGAAGGAAAGGGCATATTCAGCTTTCTGAGGTATGAAAGGAGCAGCCTTGTCGAGGACCTCCAGGATAGTAGTGTGTCGTACTGCAGTGCTTTTGCCGTGCTATAGATGAGATTCCGACTACTAGTCGAGTACAGGGCATGAATGATACGTAAAGGAGATGAGTAGGAATAGCAACTATGTCACTGTGATGCGATGCGTTGATGTACTCGGCCGTACCTATTTCAACATTCCAACGCTGAGTAATGCAATGTACCCACTTCCAAACTGCCGGGATAGTTCCAGAATATATATACTTTTCATGAAGGACGTGGCTTAGGCATGGAACTGTGCTTTACGCTCCACGGTTGCATGGTCCGTCTAGCACCCAATGTTCTCTTCTGCGCCGCTCCGTTTTGTGCCTGGCTTATTGACGTCGTGTGCAATGTCGATGCTGAACGAAAGCCTGATCCTGAACTAAACGCCGCCATATTCTTGACAGGACTCTGTAGCTCATCTGTTGCTTCTGGATTTTGACCTAGGTCCACTGGATCAGGTTTCGCGGGCGAGCTTGATAGAAGCACATATCGTGTGTTCTGTGTCTCGCTCTCAGACTCATTCCTCCTCGGCTTGTTGAGAATACGCTGACTCGTTACTTTGTGCTCTGGTATCGAAAGTGGTCGAAAAGGACGCGGTGTCGAAGACTGTACATTGGAAATGTCGTGTAGGGGCGTGTTGCTTGTTAAACATGATTGCGAGCGTGGTAGGCCTGGGCCTGCTGTGGATGATTCGTGTTCTGACTGCTCGGATATCGCGCTGTTTGATCGTTTGAAGAATGATGTGATGGCGCCTTGGCCTGCTGCACGTGGTTTGGCAGGTTTTGCCCGGACTGCCTTGGGTTCTGCCTTGCTGCTCTGTGTGCCTTGAGCACTGGCTAGCGTACAGATACGCTCTGCTTCTCTTTGCATCGCTTGCAGGTCACCCAGATCCCGAGCGCTTGTGAACCCGGCATTCATGCTCTGCATTGTGGTCATGGAGGTGGAGTAGCTAGATGTTCGGTTCATCGTAACTGATACACTTTCTCTCGAGTAAGAGCCCACATCATCGATCCTCCGTCGCTTCAGTGCTTGATCCGGCCCATCCTTACCTGGTTTGGAACTTGTACGCTTCTCGTCCCACGGTGCACCCCAGGTTGGATCGTTGCCATCAATCTCGTCTCGCGTCGCTGGGTATTTGTCATCTTCTGGTCGCTCCATGGAATCACGAGCACGATCGAGATCTGCGGTCGAAGGGCAGTTCCTTCGCAGAATCCGTGCTAGGTCGGTGATAATAGTCCGTTTGAATGCCAGATCTGGTCCTCGCTCGCTAAAAAATTTCTGCACTTTGCGATCCGAAATGAATCGTGAAAGAGTCGTCTGCTCTTGTCCTGATTGCTTTACAGGGCAACTGAGGTAAAGCAACGCTTGGGCACGTGTCATACCAACATACAACAATCTTCGTTCCTCATCTTGGTCGTCTGCTCGCGAGTGAGGAATGGAACCATCGTATATGGCGGGCATGAAAACTACAGGCCACTCGAGACCTTTCGCTGCATGGATAGTGGAAATAGTGACCTGGTTTTGCTCTGTGCCCTCTTGGTCCGCCGCGCTCGATAACGTGACATTAGCGAGAAATTTCGAAAGGAGATCGGCGGCGCTGTCGGCTCGCTGTTCTATGCCTTCTGCTACAGGCAATGTATCGTCCGATATCTCTTCTCCGTTGGCAACAGCTGTGGCCATTTGTGTCGCCTGATTGACGAGCTCCTCCACATTCGCCCATCGGTCTTGCCAGTTTTCCTTGTGGTTCTGCTTGAGATATGACAGATACGATATTTTGTTCGAGATGTGAGTTATGAGCCCAAAGAGGTCGCACACGTCATCTTTGGCAGGAAGAAGCTTTTCCCGAGAACTCAAAATGACGTTGACAAACTGCTCAATGCCCTTTTGTGCTTGTGTAGACACTTTGCTTTTTGGCCTTCTTTTTCCTTGAGCAATGTCGAGAACAAGCTTCCAAAGTGTAATCTTGCTCATCTCTGCTTCTTCCAGTAGCGCTTTGACCGTGACATCGCCAACTTTCCGAGAAGGTACATTGATGACGCGCGCTACAGCATCATTATGCTCTGGCTGACTGACAACGCGTAGGTAATCCAGCAGTATCTTGATCTCGGCTCGATCGAAGAATTTGGTACCAGCCACCATACGATAGGGAACCCCAGCCTGTCCGAGTGCTCGTTCAATCTGGAGAGTGAGTGGCGATGAGCGCACTAATATGGCATAGTCACCAAAATCCAGCAGGCCGGCACTAAGTGTTCTCGTTCTGCATATCTCCTCAACGATCCATTTTGCCTCGACATTGGCCGATACCAGATGGCGAAGAGTGGGCTGTTCGCCAGCACCATGCGTGGCAATCAGCGATTTTTGCGGCCGGCTCTCATCCTGCTCAATCACGGCCATGGCCGAATTCAGAATGTAGCCAGATGAGCGGTAGTTGTTCTCCAGATTGATAACGACGGATTCTGGATAATCAGTGCGCATCCGGAGCAAATTCTTGATTTCGGCAGATCGAAAGCTGTAAATACTCTGATCTGGATCACCAACGATTGTGATGCGCCGAGTGTTTTGTGCCAACAAGCTCATTAACTCATACTGGATGTTGTTGGTATCCTGATATTCATCAATGAGCACAGCCTGTATCGTTGAAACGCATGAGGGCGACTTCTTTAGCAGATCGACACAGCGTATTAAAAGATCGTCGTAGTCGAGCAAGTTGGATGCGGCCAGATGCTCTTGATAAGACGAGTAGATCATGGCAAATTCGTTGTCGTTTGCATTTTTGGCAGTCGCGGCAAAAGCATCCGCCGTAACGCCCTGAGCCTTGAGCTTGGAAATCCTCGAACGGGCATGGCCAGGCTCTATGATATATTGATAACGCGTGACGATGCGTTTGAGAATAGCGGCGCTGTCACTGGTATCGGCAATGCCAAAGTTTTTGTCAATTCCAATCTCTTGGCCATAGCGAAACAGAAAGCGGCGGGCAACTGAGTGGAAGGTGCCCAATATCAGCTTGGCCTCCAGTTTGTCGCCAACAAAGCCCCGTATCCTCTCCTTCATCTCGCGGGCGGCCTTGATGGTGAAGGTGCATACGATGATGTTCCATGGCTGCAGTCGCTCGTGGTTAATGTGGTACGCGACACGCGCAGTGAGTGTCTTCGTCTTTCCCGAGCCTGGAGGAGCAAGCACCTGTACGACGTTCGCAGGGCTGGTGACTGCGCTCTTCTGCGCATCGTTCAATCCATGCAGCAATGCGTCCATGGCCAGCTGCTGTGTGTGTTGCAATTGACGGGATGATATTCACACTGCTCTGAGCCGGGTGGCGGTGGAGCAGTGGAAACGCGCTAGAACCGCGCAGCACGTGACCATTCTCATCTCATCCAACGCACATACTACTTGTTATCCGCATCCACCACCACACATGAACCGAGCCAGCAGCAAGGCCGTGGCCCCAATCGCGTAAGACTTCCGACCCGCGGTACACGATGCCGGTTGAACATACATGTAGCATCGTTCGCCAAGCACTAGCTCGTCGTATTTTCCCCCGCAATGCGGAGGACATCCTTGCTCGGCCATCTTTTCTCCGTCAACCGGGCCTGAAGCAAGGAAGATCAGCATCCGACTTGCATGTATCCAGCAAGCCTGCCGATGCACGATGGAGTTCTTCGCAGCTAGCCAGATCCATCATGTATACCGAAAAGCTTATAAAAGCTGACATGTACCCGTGGTCTTGAATGGCATCCAGAAGACTACTGGGCGCTTCATTTCGAGGCCATGTTGGGACCACGCCTACTTCTTACCTCAGTCCTCGCCGGCACTATCGTCTCGGCAGGCTACTTGCCAGAAGTTCCGAGTGCGGCTACTTTCCAGTACAATGCACGAAGACAGGCTACCAATGGTTCATCGCCTTCGTTCAATGGCCCGTATAGTACTCGCGGACGAGACATTGTCGACCGCAATGGTCAGACAGTATCATGGGCAGGCGTCAATTGGCCTATGAGTGGTATGTATTAGCTCTCTGTTGTCGATTCCGGCCAAAAATGTGCTCACTCTGCCTATAGGCGAGACTATGATCCCAGAAGGTCTCGAGTGGGCGTCCGCCGATGAAATCCTCTCAGACATTGCGGGTGTCGGGTTCAATTATATCCGCATGGGCTATGCCATCGAGATGATTGATCAGGTCTATGATCGAAACGGCGAGGATGTTCCCTTGGAAGTTGGTCTCATAAATGCCCTGGGGTACGTCAATGGCACCAAAGTCACAAAGGAAATTATCGCCAAGAACCCCGGGTGGACGGCACAGACCACTCGTTTCGAGATCTGGAGTGACATTGCACGCATTGCTGCTACCAAAGGCATCTTCATCAGCCCGGATGTGCACACCGGCAAGGCGCAGTGGTGCTGTTCGCACATTGATGGCACTGCCTGGTTTGACGATTTGGACTTCAATGCTACCCATTGGCGTCGTGGCCTTTCCTACGTCGCAAACTGGGCAAAAGCACACCCCAACATTGTCAGCATGTCTCTCCGTAATGAGCTTCGCGAATCATGGAATGTCACCAATTTGTACTACAACTGGGACACATTGGTTGGCAACATGACAGCCGGTGCTGATGCAATCCACGAAGCCAACCCCGACCTTCTTATTCTCTGGGGAGGTATGCAATATGGCCAGGACCTTTCGGCTTTGACTAGTGGAAAAAATATCCTCACCGCACCGTGTTACAAATGCACGGCTATTCGTGACGCTGCTAGGCGTGAACCGGTTTACTTCAACCTCGACGACCACCCATGGGCCGACAAGCTCGTCTGGGAACTCCATCTCTACAGCATGAGCGAGGATATCGATACCGGCACATGCGATATCGTGAAAGCCAACTTCTATCGTAATGGATTCAACGCATTGGGCATCGATGCACCACCTGCTTGTAACATCACGGGTGACTGCCCCAAGGCTGTACGTGAGACACCAGTCATTCTGAGCGAGTTTGGCAGTGCCCAAGACGAGACTCTCTTCAACAATACTCTCCAGAACTGCCTGAAGGAGTACACCATCGAGCACGGTGTAAGCTGGATGATGTGGGCCATTGCGGGCTCATACAGAATCAGATCCGGAATACAAGGGTTCCCCGATACGTGGGGTATGACCAACTACGATTGGTCGGGATGGAACTACGAACGGGGTATTGAAGAGTTCTGGAAGCCATGGGTAAAGGCGATGAACACGACTAAGATTGTCTAAAATGTGGAGATAAACTTAGTCACGGTTCACATTGAGCCTGAGCTCTATCAGTAGGAAAACCAAAATACGCTACATCCAAACAGATAACAGTGTGGTCAAGTTCTTTGAATATGTAATGTGTAGTTTAGTTATTAAGCTGATGCTTCTGCAGCTGTTAATGTATATTTAGCAGCAAATTTTGCGTTTTGTTTTCCTGTTCCTTATGTGTTGCACCACCGGCAGCATCTCCGTGAAGGCATTAGTCTTTTCACAGTCTGGTCAAAATCTCAAGAACAAAGCAAGTAAGCCCAAATTCGAGTATTATTTTAAAATGAATTGAAGGTGAGTGGTATTCAATCTATTAGTCTCGATGAAGAAGAATGACGACATTGGCGTTTGCTCCTATCGCCTCACATGCTGCCGAGGCATCCGGTGTTGGTTCGTACAAGAACAATCTCTATAAAGTGTCCGCCTGGCCACAGCACTCATATTTAGCAATTATGCACGCGAAGGGCAGACAATCAAGCAAAATGCTTGTAGGAATGCCATCTGCGCACTACAATCTTAGGGTTACTCGTATCTCCGATGACCGTAAATCTTCGGCCGAGGGGGCTCTTCTGCGTCACCGGGGGAATCTGACATCGGAACTCTTGGTCCCCGAATGGTGACAACCTACTAAACTCTTTGGCTGCATCAAGAGCGTACGAGCCATGAAATTGAGTTTTACATTGCACCTACAATTTATCTATGCAAGAAAACATATAGATCAGTACCAGATCCTTTCTGTCAATACAAGAAAGAATGTTAGGCGGCGGCGATCATCTGTTGTACTCAGGACGCTTATCCTCCGATGCCACGCGCCTTTTTTTTCGCATTTGGGCTTACTTGTGACGTGTGCTACACGTGAAAGGATCAATCAAGTAGTAGAACGGTTCTAGAACTGAGATGTTATATAGGACATGGTCGACACGAGCTGGACTCACAAGTGACATGACCGTTCGCATGTATTCGTCCGCGACTTTTCGCTGCCTGGCGCTGTTAGCCATCCGGCGCTTCCACCTTCGCTGACACCAGGACCTGAATGCATTCCCTGCGCCAACGTTATATGTCATGCAAACTGCCGCTATCTTATAGCGCTCGACCCAAAGACTCTTCTTACACAGGCCCTCTCACATCGCTAGTATCGCCAGTATTATATTACCAAATGCTCCCGCAATCATGTCTTCTTGTTTCTCGGGTCACTCGGAACGTTGGCACTTCCACGACCCAAGCTCACACATTTCAGGCAGAGTGAACAGGCTCGGCCAAGTTGCCGTTCGTTTTCACCACACTCCGAAACGCCTTGAGCGCTGGTTCAAAAATCAACAACGCAACCCAGTGAGCAAGAAAGACGCTGCCAATACACCACAACTCTATATCTCTCACAGCCAACAAGCGGATCTTCCCTCGCCAAGACTCAATATTGCGATACACATTTGTGGCTCTAGAGGAGATGTGCAACCTTTTATTCCAATCGCCAAACTACTTCAAGCACCTCCATATTGTCACCGTGTACGAATATGTACACACCCAGCCTTCAAAGATTTTGTGGTAAGTGGAGCAAACAATCTACTCGGATTCATCCATTGATTCATACAAAATCACGGGAACTTACGCGCCAAAGGAAAGCAATGGCCTCGAGTTCTTTTCTATTGGGGGTGATCCAGAAGCTCTTATGGCGTACATGGTGAAGAACCCAGGCTTACTTCCCGGTATGGAAAGCATCAGGGCTGGCGAAGTGAGTAAGAGGCGGAAGGAGATGGCAACGATACTTGAAGGCACATGGCGTAGCTGTATCGAGGCTGGAGACGGACTAGGACCTAAGGTCACTGCAGTGAATGTGGAACAGACCGAGAGCTTATTTATTGCGGATGTCATCATTGCTAATCCACCGTCTATGGGCCATATCCACTGCGCAGAAAGGCTAGGGATACCTCTACATATTGTCTTTACCATGCCATGGTCACCAACAAAAGCCTTTCACCACCCACTAGCCGCAATGGAATATGGCGATGCAGATGAATCCTCAGCAAACTACGTTAGTTTCGCTATCATGGAATTGATGACCTGGCAAGGGTAGGCTCTCATTCGAATCAAGTTTGACAAGAGGCTGCTAATCGTATCAGACTAGGGGATCTCATCAATAGATTCAGAACACGTACTTTGAAACTCGATATCGTAAGAATTCTGTCTTAGTGTATAGCTTTGCTCAGGCTGACCATTTTGTGCTTTGTAGATAAGCCCGCTTTGGGGATTTCAACTACTTCGAAGGTTGAAAGTCCCTCACTCCTATCTCTGGTCGCAAGCCCTGATTCCTAATCCATCAGATTGGCCTGAGCACCTCAACGTAACAGGGTTCTCTTTTCTCAAAGCTGGCTCATCTTACTCACCACCTGACGATCTAACTGCATTCCTTGAAAAAGGACCTACACCAGTCTACATTGGCTTCGGATCGATCGTCGTGGATGACCCTGTGCACCTGACAAATCTCATATTCGAAGCGATCAAGCTAGCTGGAGTTCGTGCTATTATCTCTAAGGGATGGGGAGGTATAGGCACAGACAAGGCGCCTGAGAATGTCTACATGATTGGTAATTGCCCTCACGTAAGTAAAGCGAATCTATAATTTAGGATTTCTAGATAAAACGACTCACACACAGAAAGGACTGGCTTTTCCAACACGTCTCTTGCGTGGTTCACCATGGAGGCGCAGGCACAACGGCAGCGGGCATAGCACTTGGAAAACCCACTGTTATAGTACCGTTCTTTGGAGACCAGCCATTCTGGGGGAAAATGGTTGCCAAAGCAGGCGCAGGTCCAAAACCTATTCCCTACAGACAACTCACGCCAGAAGGCTTGGCCGAGAGCATCAAGTTTGCATTGAGACCCGAAGTCGACATTGCTGTCAAGAAGATGGCGGCTTGTATTGCAGAAGAGGATGGAGCTTCAGAGACGGTCCGAGATTTTGAGAGCGCACTAAGGGTAGATGACATGAGGTGTCATATCTGTCCGGAACGCCTAGCAGTATGGAGGGATAAAAAATCGGGAGCCCATCTTAGCGGGCTCGCTGCATGTGTTCTTGCGAAGCAAAAACTGATAGATCCACATGATCTACGATTGTAAGTGTTTTATTAGTTGTTGGGGCCCAGACATGTTCACAAGCTGACTTACTGTAGGCTCCGCCATAGACAGTGGTGTAAGGCTTTATTCGCAACTCTCGTTATTGCATGCTAACAATCGAAGATATCCATGAAGGGGCGGAAGCACCATTAATTGGCGCCGTAGCTGCAGCTTCCAGCTTCTTTACTAACCTTGCAATCAACACGTCGGACTTCTCTCACCGTCTGAAAAAACCAAAGTTACAGGGTATTGATCCCACAGGGGCCACCAATACTCAGAAAAAAGGGAGAGTGGACGAAGAACATAACGGACAAACCATAAGTCCCATTTGGCTAGCTCATTTCGCCAGTTTGATGGCAACCAAGTCTTTGAAAGAAAATTGGCAAGACGACATTGAAAAGGCGCTAGATGCACAAGAAATAGCAAAAATCCATGCCCTGATAGCTGCCCAAGAAGCTGAGCATGGACGAGCCTATCAAATAACCAGCGCAACTCTCCACTATGCAGGAGACGTGACCAAGACATATCTAAAAGGTAAGTTCAGATATCCATCGTCTCTTTTCAGCATCACAGTTCTAACCAACGAAGCCCCTGTGGCACTCTTCTACAATGTAGCCAACGGCTTCCGCAACTTCCCCTCCCACTCCATAGCCAACGAGCGCCACCGACGCCGTGACGAAATCGTCGGTCTGAGCAGCGGCCTAACCGTTGCAGGCAAAGTACGTATCACCCATCTCACACACACACACACAAAAAGAAAAGCACAGCAGCTAACCAATCCTGCTTTCCACCAGGAATTCCGGCTAGGCCTCTACGACGCATTCACCGGACTAGTAAAACACCCCTATCTCGGCACGAAACTCGAGGGTCCACTGGGCCTGCCAAAAGGCATCGGTCGAGGCATCGCAGGTTTCGCGTGCCACGCTTCAGCTGGTAAGTCTTCTCAGCCCCTTTGCATCGTGGATTCAGTCACTAAGTCAATATTTTTTTCTTCTTCTTAAACAGCTATCTGGGGATTGCCTGGTTACACGCTTAAAGGAATCGAGTGCGCGTTATCGAAACATAGGATCACTCCGCTTCAGACGGAATTGTATCTTATCAGGTTACGGCAGGGTGCGCGTGATTTTGAGCAGGTGTCGAATGAGGAGAGGGAGAATGTGGTGGCTAGATGGAAGGGGATGCAACGGCGGGGGTCGAGTATTTTGGTTTGATGCGTGTTGGTTATGTTGTTTTATATCCGGGCTGTTTTTGGTGGGTTGGGTTTTGTTTCTTAGAGGAATAGCGTTGCATTGTAGCTGTATTGTAGACAGATGTGGCAGTGACAAGTATTCACTGCGGTATCCTCCCTCAACGATTTGATACCCACCTTTACTTCGAGCAAGGAATAAATCCAGTTGCTACTTAGATGGAATGGCAATAGTTATTTCCATTAGCTGTTTACCTTGATGCCACTATGTCCCATTTCGAAGCGCTAGCATCCCTTTCGTAAGGGAGGCCGTTGTAACACAAGGTCGTACACATCTATGCCGCTGTCATGCTGTTCACCAACACCTCGACATCATTTGGGAGCTGGTTGGTTAGCACAGTATACGTCGCTCACACCTAGAATAAAATCCTGACTACATGTCATAAGCGCTACCGCCTCTTACTGCGACTAGAAACCCTCTATTCTAAGATACGTTTGCTCTCTTCTCATCCCGACCTCCGACAGGACGTACACTCAAAAACCCTAGTCTAATAACGGCTCACATCTCTGACCAACACCGAAAACAAATCCCAACAATGCCACCACCAGCACCGCCCCCTTCATCCCCTCAAGCCTCACCACCCAAGGCCCTACACCAACCTCCAACCCCCCCTCCTTTCAAAGTACTCAACCCACTCCAGATCGAAACCATGGCGACCACCACGCCTCCCCAACCAACCTCACTCTCAACCGAAAAAATCCCTACTCAGCACCATGCTCCGCTCCTTCCACTGGTCCCCCGGACACAAAAAAAATACATCCACGAAATCCGCCCAGACTGCACCTACCACGTACTCCACTATCTCCCCTTCTCACACTCCCACCCCACCGGAGATTGTGCATAACGATGAGGTCGCAGGGTGAGTGGGGGGGGGGGAAGGAGGTGCAGGATAAGGAGGCTGTGATACATGTGGGTGTGGGAGTATGAGGAGTGATTATGAATTCAAGTCTGAGGTAAGGGGAGGTATATAGGATTCGAGATCTATAAGGGAGACTGGAATAGCTGGATGTTGTGAGTTTTTTTTGATACTAGTGTATAGGATGATGCAATTAGATGGAAAAAATCATTGTGTAAAAGTAATACTCGAAGCGATATGGCGGAGTGGAGTGCGTTGTCTACGAGATATGGCAGGGTAGAACTTGGATGAAGAGTTTGACCTAGAAGAAGAGAAGTGCAAAGGTTCAGCACGACGCCTATGTAAATCACATATCAGGCTAGCACATCCGCATGAGAAGAGCGTCACGTCAAGAGAACCGTCTACGACTTCAATAAGAGATGTATGGATAGTATTAATGAGGAAAAAACAGGCTACAACTGTCACAGGTATGCTATACATTTAACATTTGCGTCCCACTTCCGGTCATCTTGTAGAGCCATCAACGCGTCATGCTCTATACCATATCAGGTCATGGTCAAATGAGAGAGAGAGAAGTAAGTTGACAGAAGCCCACATGTATGATCTACGCCTACGCCTGTCAATGCGCAGGACAATTAGGAGATGAGGAAACGGAAAAGAAAAAAAAACAAGTCTTCGTAGAGTAGAGCGAAGAGGTAAGTTGTTGTATCATCCATCCTAACTCCCCATAGAAAAGAAAGCCCAGCGTCCGGTTTGGTGACAAAAATCTGGAGGGGTCCTTGGAGAAGAAAGAACCATTGGCAAGATATCACATGCCCAGCTGCTCTAGCGCATGCCTGTAGGATGCACATGGTCGAGATGGTGTCCGGTAGCGAAACCTCCAATATGATCTAGGGGAGATTTAGGAAGCGTAGACTCCCACAGTACCCTCTGTTCTTCGAGCTCCTGTTTCCTTCGCTCTTCGCCCAGTTGTTTAGCGTTGTGCGAATGCATGTTCTGTAGTAGCAACGGCACGCTAGGGCTTTTGGGTAATGTGGCAGGCTCGCTTCGAGTATCTATCCAAGTGCTCGATCTGATGTGCCCATGTTTCGCGGGCACAAGCATGGAGGCATCTTCATCTCGGCTGCCCAGTCGTTCCAATCCAGGTTTCCGCTGCACGCACCGTGGCTGTTTGGCAACATCTCGCTTTTCTCGTTTGTTTGTCACGATGACATCATCGGCTAATTCAGAAGACGCCGGCTTTTGTAGTACCAAAATATTTCCTGTCAGGGTCGAAGATGGAGATGCGGAGGGCGGAGTACCGCAAGTACCCTATACCCAAGCATAGGATTAGTAACTTTGAGGAGCGTAGTGTGCGGGCTGCCGGCCTTGTTAGTACTGCTATGTATACAACGGATAGTCCTGAATTTTGCAAAATTTCAGGAAGTTCGGTTGTGATACGTACTGGTGAGTTGAGCATGCTTTGGCGCTTGTTCCTGCTCTTTTTGATATGGCTCTTCAGCGCACTTGAGTCAAGAGGTTTAAGGAGCTCAAAACTGCAAAGTAATTCGCCAGAAACCGACATGACGGCACCCCAGTTGTCGAATTCACCGCAGTACTATACAGTGTTAGCTGAATCACGACCTGAAAAGAGATAATGAGCATCTTACGTTTGGCGCAGAAAACACAGTCACCAGTACCCGATCTGTGAAGAACTCGTAACCATCTTCGACAACCATGTGGGCTCTGCAAACCAGGTCGAAGTCGTGTCGCGCCAAGAATTCCATGATGACCTTTTTGCCAAAGCAGTAACTAACTCCACGTTCATTGGATTCCCAGTCGTTCTCCATATCGGCCGGATCACTCCATAACAGGTCGTTGAGTAAACCATAGTCCGGCACGTCAGTAGGTCGCGCAATTTGTCTAATGTCGTCCATGTGCGACAGACTTGGTGACAATCCGCCGTGTACACAGAAAATCTTTTGGGCTACAATGGCCGCAATAGGCAGTGTGTTGAAGGTATCGACAAACGCCTTCCAGACCTTGATATTGCACCTTCTCTTGCATTCGTCGTAGAAACCGTATACGCGCGTGACGTTGGCGCACTCGTGGTTGCCGCGCAGGAGGAAGAAGTTCTCGGGGAATTTGAGCTTGTAGCAGAGGAGCAGAAGGATGGTTTCCAGGCTCTGCTTGCCGCGGTCGACATAATCGCCGAGGAAAAGGTAGTTTGAATTTGGTGGGAAACCGCACATCTCGAACATTCGGATCAGGTCGGTGTATTGTCCGTGGATATCGCCCACAATCTTTACGGGCGCAGCAAGTTCTAGCAGGGCAGGCTGGCTCAGGAATACTTCTCGAGCAGCCGAGCAAATAGCGAAGATCTCGGCATTCTTCAAGCTGACTGTCTTGGTGACTTTTCCAGCGTATGCAGCATCGAGCAACCGCTGAATCATGTCATCGAGATCCATTGTCTTGAGCGCGCTGATCTCCATGGGTGAGCCCGAGCCATCTGTTGGCGCTGGAGGCTCGGGAAGCCTGGGGATAGGCTGGTCTTTCTTTTGCAAGATGGACTCGCCCGGCTGGGCTGAAGCCGAAGGTTGTGCGGCTCCCGTGGGGGGAACATCAGAGACGTGGTCTACTTCGCCAGTTCTCTGAGCCTTGGTGACTCCCTCGTGGCCTGTTCCAAGCGTTGCGCCGTGAACAGGCGAGGGCGGTGCTTGGGGCACGTCCGCGTCGGACTCGGGCTTGTCTGTGGGTTCTGTCGAGCCATCGGCGGGCGCTGGCGCGGGGGGCGGTGCGGGGGCTGAAGCTAGCGAGTTTCTTCGCGAGCCTTTGGATTTTGTGGAAGCGGCGTCCGACTTGTCCACCTTGCCGTTGGTATCGCCAATGCCGGCAACTGAGTTTCGTGGACTGTCGGACTTGCCGGTGATGGGGATCTTGTTGCGCAACGAGGTACGCAGCGAGCGAGTCGAGTCTTTGGTGTCGGATCTCTCAAAGGAGCGGTAGTACTCGCGGCCGAGAGGGACGCCGTCGGCACCGCCTTTATCGCCTTTCTTGTCCTTGCCGCTTGATTGCTGGTTGCCCATGGTGGGTGGAGGTGGCGTGGCTAAGCGAGCGTGTGTCGAGACGGGCGGTGTGTATGGTGGTCTTGTGAGGTCGGATGATGCTTCTCACATGAAAGAAGGAGGAAACGGCGGCCGAGCTGGGGAGGGGAGTGCAGGACCAAGCCGGGAATGGCCTTGCTCGCTGGCTGGTTCACTGGCTCGCTCTCTCCGTCAGCTCAGTGCCGGTTGTCTACTGGGAGCGAGGAGGCTAGGCAAGGGCGCAGGCAGCAGTTGGGTTTATGTGTGGTGGTTGAGTTGAGGTGGGTTGGGCACGAGGCAGAGGCTGTGCTAGGGCGGTCGGTAGAGGCGGGCAAGAAAAGACAGGAAGCGGGCCTCCGTCGGCGCAGTCGTGATCTGCCTGGACAAGCTGTGGCAGATGAGGCTAGGCTGGGCGACGGGGGAGCGATCGTCTTCCAGCGTGCGCGCCAGATCGGTGGTGTGCAGAGGACAGGCGGATTGCTTGGGCAGTGCTCACGGGCTGGGGCTGGGGCCGGGCGAGGGCAACGATGATAACGATGACTTGAACCGCTATCCGAGCTAGCAGGGCGGGGGGAGCCAGCGACGATGTCAGCCGCAAGGTCTAGTCAAAGTAGGCCCTGCTGCGTCGTTGAATGGCAGCACTGGGTGCGCTGTTAGCGGGCAGGCGAGCGCTGACTAGTATGAGCCCGGGCTGCCGCGACGGTGCCGCAGTGCTACGCAGCCTGGACGGGGCGGGCGTGCTGCGACAGGGTGCTGCGGTGCGCCGCGGTGCGGTGCTGTGCTAGTAGGACGTGATGTGGGTACTGCGGCCTCTACTGATGCATCAGCCACGGGATCAGACCGGTGGAGGGAGAAGAAGAAGAAGAAGAAGAAGAAGGAGAGAGAGAGAAAGAGAGGGCGAGAGAGCGAGAGACGACAGGAGAGAAAAACAGTTCGATAGCTTCCACAACGCGACCTTGCCAAGATTGCGGGCAAGGATTACAAGCCCTTGCATCAGAGAGAGCCTCTGGGCACGCAACGTGACCTATCGCTCCTCTTGCAACCGCCCAGCCCTTCAACCATGGGCTAGCTGGCAGAAGGGTAGGCCAGTCCTCTCCTCGTCGTCGCCTCATCCCCCGTCCCCTAATTGGCGCAAGGCGACTGCGCAGAAAACCGCGCTGCAAGCCCACCGAACACATTCGCCCAACTGCAACCCCGCCAAACGACATCATGGGCCCACTGTCAGCAGTCCGTCCAGCCTACCGACAACCCCCCAGCCCAGCCCGACCAACGGATCCTCCGGCCACAACCCTACCCTACACGTGTTCTGTACATACATATGTATCTGTACATGTGCCTCTTCCCACAGGTCATCCTCTGCCCCCGCCACCCTCTTCCATTGGCAGCCCAAGGGGTCATCAGGCTGCTCTTCATGCACATACCATGCGCCTCAAACACGAACCACTTTCGTCGCAAAAAACAAATCACAGAGCCGGCAATTCACTCATGTACACCGACATTTGTATTCATGACACCAACCCGACAAGTACTACTACTCTACTGCACACCTGCCCTCCCCTCCCCTCAACCGTCCAAGCCCTGGCGCCAAGGGCGGAACTCTTGGACCTCCTTCGTCTTTGCAAATATTTGCCAGACGGCCCATGGGCCCCACTGCCTTTGTGCCTGTGCTTGCCGTCCATGGTCGCGCCGTTGAAGCTTTTAAAGTTTGGTACCTAGGTTAACGTGGATAGCCTAGCAGCCGTGTTAGCAGGTACATGACGCCACTCAATGCATCCCACACATACCTTCTTGTTGGTGTACGCCTCCAGCCCAGCTTCACCGCACTCCCTGCCAATTCCGCTCTGCTTGACGCCACCAAACGGAATACGCAAATCAGAATCGTTGCTGGAATTAATCCAAACCATGCCTGCTTCAATCCGTCGGGCTACGCGGTGCGCCTTGGTAATGTTTTCAGTAAACACCGCTGCACCCAGCCCATACGTAGTGTCGTTTGCACGGCGGATGGCCTCCTCTTCCTCCTTGAACGAACTGATGGCTACGAACGGGCCAAACACTTCCTCGCGGTAGATTTTCATCGAGTCCGTTACATCCTTGAAAATGGTAGGTGCCACGAAGAAGCCCTTACCACCTACGTTCTTGTACGCCTCGCCGCCTGCAACCAGCGTGGCTCCCTCTGATTTGCCCGATTCAACGTACGAGAGCACGCGCTCAAACTGCGCCTTGGTCACCTGCGGTCCTTGGAACGTATCGTCCTTGAATGGATCTCCAACAACTGAAGCCGTCTTGACGTAGTTCTTGAACGCCTCGACAAACTTTTCGTAAATGCCCTCCTGCACCAGTATCCTTGATGTTGACGTGCACACTTGGCCTTGGTTGTACCTGGAAATCGTCAGTCAAGTGCAATCAATAAGCAGAGGCATATCTTACATGATACCCGTGTGCGCCCACTTGACTGCTTGATCAAAGTCTGCGTCATCGAAAACAATCAAGGGCGACTTTCCTCCGGTTTCGAGTGTAATGTTCTTCATGTTGATAGAAGCCATCTTCATAATCTCTTTTCCTGTTGCTGTCGATCCGGTAAAGGCAATCTTGTCCACGTCCAGATGCTGCGCCAGCGCAGCTCCAGCCGTCCTACCCCAGCCATTGAGGAAGTTGACGACACCTGGAGGGAAGCCGGCTTCTTTGACCAGGTATCCAAGATACAAAAGGGAAAGTGGCGTCTGCTCAGCAGCCTTCATGACTACTGTGTTGCCGGTACAAAGTGCGGGACCCAGTTTCCAAGCCGCCATAGCCAGAGGAAAGTTCCAACTGCACAAAGTCAGTACTCCCATGTAAAATTGCCCGGTATCAAAGTATCTTACGGAATAATCTGTGCACAGACACCGACTGGCTCCCTAACAGTGTAGGCTAGTTTGAGGGGCGAGGTGTTAATGACGGTGCCATGAATCTTGTTGGCATATCCAGCGTAATACTTGATGGTGCCGACAACTTCGCTCAAGTCCTCATTGAGCGAGACCAAGTAGGGCTTGCCATTGTCCCATGTTTCGATGGTCGCCAGCGTCTCTCTGTGCTCATCAATCAATTGGCCAAACTTGTACAGTAAATCGGCTCGGGCATTGGAGTCCATGTCCCGCCACTCCGGGTTGTTCAGAGCTTTGCGTGCTGCTGCTACCGCAATATCGACGTCCTCCGGGCCAGCCGCGTAGACGGATGTGATCTCGCTCTCATCGCTGGACCAACTTAGCTTAGCGTACACAGCGCAGACAGGGTGTTACAGGGGTTTTTGAGCATACCTGGGGTTTATGGTTGTGATGGTCTCGCCAGACTTGGACTTGACAAACTCATTGTTGATGAAGAGGCCTCTTGGCTGCTTATACTTGCGGCCGTTTGGCGCTGTAAGCTCAACAAAGAGGTCAGACATGTTGTTGGTGTGAGTCGTGTAGAATTTCCAACTCGGACTGATGCTGGCACCAGGTATCCTGTATAGCAATGGCTGAAGAGAAAGCGATGTACGGGGGCGGAGTGAAGCTCTGGTCAAGGCCGAGTAGATACGGGGCATATCCTTTGTTGACGCGGACATGGCCAGCTATCTATAGTGTGCAGATATGTATTGCGCCGGCCAGTGATGAGTGCGGTAGTACCATCGGCATCTGCAGACCCCGCCATGAGGCCGTTAAGGCTAGCCCCACCGCATGCAACTGCCTTTTTCAGACGCCTGTCCTCTGTTGTCTCCTTCTACTACACTTTCTTAGCATCCGGTATGCGTGTCCTTGGATACACACAGTAGGCTCGGCTCTACTCTTCGTGCCGGTCGAGGCAAAAATGGCGCCGAAAATGGTATACTAGCCTATGATTTCGACACGGTCGTTATCATCACATGAACCCCCTCCCGGCTCCTCCCATCTCTCTAGGCGCGCTCCAAGTACTGCTGTACTTATCTTTTGTTTTCCCTGCATTAATTTCGTTTGACACACTCGCCGGAAACCTCGGGTCATTTCTCATACTAAGCTATCTGTTCATGCCGATGAATGCCATTGGTCCATCCATTATACACTCGACTCGTTACTATACCATCTGCATCATTGATAGAGTGGATGCATTCCACAAGTCTTGATCCTATTGGACTCCCACATGCCACCGTCAACGCCTCCGACGCTCTGCGTTGTTTTCGCGTACAGTTATGCATACTTCGATATGGCTATCTGATCGATAAACGAGAAACACACTCTCGGGTGTGCTGCTCGTTGATTGGAGCGCACAGCAATCGTCGCGCTTGGGCGTTCGTCATTGGCAAGCAGCAGCGGAAGCTACCCCACCATGCTACCCGCTCGCGTCATTGTACATATCGACTTCCAAAACTTCTGCCCTCACGCCGATCTCTTTGAAAGAAAAAAAAATCCCTGATCAATGCCGCCCGCCTAGTGCCCAGTTAAATCCAGGGAAATCTGCTGTAGGGAAGAAAAGAAACAGCAACAGTGTAACAATGTCAGCCTTCCAGAAAAGAACCGCCAAGGTTCACGTGCTCAAACTGCCGCAGATTCTCCTCAAGCTCTTCGTTGCTCGCCCATACTCCACAATGGACATGACCCGCGACCCACTGTCCGCCTTGCCTCCCGACGCCGAGCGCCCAGACGCCTCGATAGACGTCGCTCACTCGCTCGAGTACTGGAATAGCGTCTCGGCCGACGTGAACGGCATGCTTGGCGGCTTCCCCCAGACCACACGCATTGATTTGCAAGGCTCCTCCAACTTCCTCACAAAGCTGCGCCGCGGCAGAGCCAATGCTGCCTCCAAGGAACCCTTGCCGCCTTTGCAGCGTGTAGCCGACTGTGGCGCGGGTATCGGCCGCATAACAAAGGGTCTACTGCTGGGCGTGAGCGAAAAGGTCGATGTTGTGGAGCCCGTCAAGAAGTTTACCGACGAGCTGGTGCAAAGCCTAGCCAGCGAGGAACAAAAGGAGGGGAGAGGCCAGCTGGGTGAAGTCATCAACCTCGGTCTACAGGACTGGATACCCGAGCCTGGCGTGTACAATGTCATTTGGAACCAGTGGTGTCTTGGACACTTGACCGACGCACAACTAGTCGTATACCTTGAGCGCTGCAAGCAAGGGCTCAAGCCACCAACAGAGGGACAGGATACATTTAGAAGCTGTATCATTGTCAAGGAAAATTTGTCAACGGACATCAAGCATAAGGATCTCTACGACGACGAAGACTCGAGCGTCACACGGTCCGACGCAAAGTTCCGCATGCTCTTCCAACAGGCTGGCCTGAAGATTGTTGCCACAGAGCAGCAGAAAGGTATGCCGAGGGAGTTATTCCCCGTGCGTATATACGCACTCAGACCAGAGTGAACATGGGCCAAAGAAAAGCATGATACCCAACCCTTTTTTTTTCCTCTCCATTAATGTAAAATAGAATGCGGAGTCAAACCATATACCATTATACAATGAGTAACCAACCTATCTATACCTCTCCCGTCTCTGTGAATCTCTGTACCACGCCCAACGAAAACACCGGTGCACCGGATACCGCCTGATGCACCGGCAATTTCCCCACAACCACCTTTTTCTTCTTCATAACCTTTGGCTTAGCCTCCTCATCCCCTGCATTCTGCCCTCCAGAAGTATCCATGACATCTTCAAACTCCTCTTCTTCCTCTTCCTCTTCCTCATCCCCTTCGTCCTCATCATCCTCTTCCTCATCCCCTTCATTCGCATCTTGCGCATCCTCCGCAGGGTAACTCGCCGGATACGTTTGCCGCAGATACTTCATATCAAACACCTCCTGATGCGCATGCTGCCAAATATCCTTAATCGCATCTCCCGACAGCACATCCTTGACGCGCGTCGTAGGAATCGCTTCGGAGTCGAGGCGCTCAGACTCTGGGACCCGCGCATCGTCGTCGTCATCATCATCATCTTCGCCTTCCTTTTCGCTTTTTTCTTGCTTGCTAGAAACTTTCTTGTTCATGTCCACGCCCCATTCTTCGGGCACGTACAGCCACTCTGCTGCCTTGCGGATCTTGTCTTCGACCCAGCCTTCCTCCATGGGCTCCAGCCGCTTCCGCAGCAGCGTCCCCGCCATACCCGCCGCCATGCCGCCCCCCGCGTTCATCGGGTACAACGGGTTCGGGAACGGATGCAGGGCTTGGAATTTTTCCGTGTTGGTAGGTAGCGGCTGTGTCGCAATGAGGCGCCGTCGGACGTCGCGCTCCACAAAGACCTCATTGCCACCTGCGTCGAGAATGTGGTTGCCAGCCGCGTCTTTGGACGGGATCCGCTGTTTCTGCGTGACGAGCTTGTTTTGGTGCCGGAACCCGCCGTTGATGAGGAGGTGGATGGAGGTTATGTAATTTGTTATCATTGTGGTTGCGCGATGGATTTGGGGCCTGTAGGAGAGGGATATTAGTTTTGTATGCTACTACCTCGAGACCTGACAGTGCTTTCCAAGTGAATCCGAATTAATCAAATTGCAATTTGCTCTTTTTTTTCTTGCCCTCTCGTTTTTGCGTGGATCTTGCGTAGCACCCAGAAACACATACAATGCAAGCGCAAACCGGGGTCTAACAAGAACGCGACACCGCCTCGCAACTGCACAAAGAACAAGCATACCTATCCTCTCTCCCCACACTTACCAGTCAACAGCCTCCCCCCGGCTCATTTTGAATTGCATCTCAGCTTGTAGTCGATCC